CTTTAAATAATTTATTGATGTTGAGACAGACGATTAAGTGATAAGGATATAAATTGTGTGAAATGAGCAAAAACAGCAGACAGATACTAACAAAAAAAAAGTAAAGTTACAGACCAAGTAAAAGTTCAGCGTTAAGTTAACTACCGTAGAAGTGATAGGTCTAACAATTAACATAGGCATAACGTTTAATATGTTGGAGTAAGACTAACAGTAGAAAAGGAAGATAAGAAAAACAATTTATTCCATCAAAGCGTGGTTCTAAAGTAATTGAATCAGCCTGAGTGCACTTTGACAAAAGTAACAGAGGATACTTAGGATAAAGAAGACCATACGATATGGTAACTCATGCCACAATTGTAAGTGAATCGTGAATCACACACAAAATACTAGTGTGATAGTAATAGACAAGATAGTTTGGCTTGTCAACTGAAATTCTAAAGTAATTGAATAGGCCTAAGTGGACTTTTGACAATGAGAAAAGAACTATACAGGTTGTGTTTATGATATGCCTGTAATCTCTGTAGTGTGAAGAATTTGTTGTACATATGATTAATTTGTTCTGAATAGTTATATTATTTTGAAAACAAGTGAAGTGCATGCTGTTTATTTATCATTGAATTTATTGACAACAAATCACCAACACCTACTGTAGAAGAATCCTAAGCCCAACAACAACACAGTATATATTTATACTATTAAGAAGTAGAAGTAAAAGCCTTTTATTTTGACAATTGGCAAAAAAGAAAGAAATATATTTATAAATTTTGACACTTTCCCTTGCACCTGTCCATCCACCTATTCAACGTGGGATTCTAGCTGTACATGTGAGAAGAGGTAATGTACTGTATCTGAAATTATTTTTCTATACTGAAAATATATTTAAGGTAGGTTCTTACCTCCTGTCACTTTCCACCCTTCCTCCACGTTGAAAACTGGTGCTTTCTTTTTTGCCTAATCTCAAAGTGATAGTTTGGTAGAAACGAATAGAGGGAGTCACATGCATCAGTAGAGTGTGTTGCACTCCTATTGGTGGAGGGTTGTTGCAGACACAGTTGAACCATGTTGATCGAGGTACGTGGGAGTTCAAGACTAGTGTCATACGAAAATATTTTTGCATATAGGGACCAGCACTGAATAAGAACAGATATACATGTGAGAGGAGGTAAGTATCTATTGTAAATCTATTTTCTTTGTAGGAAAATAATGACTTTATCTGTTTTTAACATGTACTAAAGTATTACGCACATTTTAGAAATATAGGTAAAGTTTATGTTAATTCTGTAAAAAAAAGCTTATTTGTCAGCAAAGGCTCATCACGATCCATATGGATATTGCCACAAGATATGGGCACCAGAAATATAAATTTTTAATCTATTTGTTTTGAAATTATTAATGTTAATTCTATGTTTATGGCAAATATTAATTTGATCTTACATTTAAAGTAACTGGAAATATTTTCTGATTTTTTTCTTGACAGAATATTGGATTGTCACCCAGCAGTGCTCCTGTTTCATTGGCTACCAGTGAGCATGCAGCTGGGTTTTCAGCATCACTGGGAGAATGTTCTAACAGTAGTTGGGCAGATCTTGAACCTTATATGATAGGCTCCTTTCAGATGTTTCCCTTGACACTGGAAATGCAGCAACGATTTATCTTGCAGTACCTTACACCAATAGGGGAATACCAGGATGTAAGTCTTAACCTTAAATTGTTAGAAGCTTCTTGTTAGTATGTAAGTTCAATGAAAACCAGAGCAATCAGAGAGATTGCATACCTTCACCCCACCACTCATTTTCGAGATTACATGCATTTATATTGGATAACATGAAATTTCACCTTCAAAAACTTAGAATATGCTTCTCAGATCCAGGATGATCAATGATCCAGATCATTTTTTGTAGTGTGATGAGGAGTCTAAACATTAATCTACCCATGAAATTTGGTACAAATCCAATCACACTTTACAGAGTTATTAACCAAAAACTGTAAAAATGACCCTATCTCCTGATAAGGATATAAATTGTGTGAAATGAGCAAAAAACTGCAGACAGATAATAGAACAAAAA